CTTCATCAACCAAATCCAACTACAACAACAAAAAGAATCGCAACTCCTTTTGGAAAATTGGTGGGAATAGCGTCTGCTACCGAAGAGTCATTTAAGAAATTACCTAATTTAAATGAAGTCAACGCCCGAAGAATTTGGTGTAGAGCTAACGATCAATGGTTAAGGAATTGACTTCGCCGTTGAGGCAAGCAAGGAGGTTACTGGTAGAACAATCATCGAAGATTCATTCTACCGATTCACACGAGTTTCTTTGATGGTAATGAGCCGGAGAACATTGATTTGCTCCCGCCAACTACCATTTACTAATCGTCGTCACCACTAGCGCTTACTTGCTTTCTCAAACACGCACTTCGAATATTTCAAGTAGTTGCCACTGCAATATGACTCTGCTCTCCATTCCTAGGGAACGCATGTCGCAGAGTGATGTCATCGTTTCAGGGTTCTAGTTGATCTCAACCAACTCGTAGCGTCAAGATTTTTCTGTTTCCCGAGATTTCGATGTAGAGCCGACTCTGCCCGCAATTCCTAGGGAACGCATGTCGCAGAGTGGCATCACCATTTCGTATCTACAGCTGATCTCGACCAGACCCCCACAAACTGAGATTTCTAGAACACGTCACTTCCAAGTAACACTAACTGTGCCCGCCATTCCCTGAGAATGCACGTCGTAAAGTACAAAACCGCTTCATACCTTCCAAATTCAACTCACTTAGGGTTTTTCCGTTTCCCAACGCTCCTAGGTAAAACCAAATTATGTCCGAAATTCCCAGGGAATGCACGATGTAGAGTATCGATCCGATGTCGAAAATCATCCAACAATCCACTTCATCACTACTGAGGCACAATCCCGACACGAATTCTTGTATTTCAACCAGAAGATGACAATTCAAACAGAGAAAGATTCGAACAACTATGCCGAATGACACCAAAACCGGAAGTCATGACATCCAAATGATGTCATGACAAACACACAAATACACTAATAGAAGGTCCTAAGTATGCTCTGAACAAAACCACGCTCTGATACCAATCTGACACGCCCCGACCCCGATATTCCCCGAATACCAGGATAGGCACGTGCTGGCCGACACCCGAGGGTGACGAAAGCCATTTATTAAGTGCAAATGCTGAAAACAAGGGATAAATAAGGCTTATAAATATAAAAGAATAATGAATATGCAAATAAGGACCGTGTTCAGAGCACACCACTAATCTAGAACACTAAAAGAAAATAATATAAAATTGAATGAAACGAAGGAGTGGGTCCTACACCGAGAGGACTCGAAGATGCCGATGCTGAAGTGCCTGGACGTCGGGATTGTATGCCTCAATTCTAAGTCCTGAAGGGGGCGCAAAACAAACATGAGTGGACCAAGTTGATATATATATATATATATATATATATATATAATAAAACAGTTATCAACATACTAACCCCTAGGTTTTATGAAAACACATATATATAATGATAAACATAGGTTTTCCGAAATCTAGCATGTCGTGCAATGTCTCAAATCATAAATCGCATAAATAATAAACACTAGTGAATGTCCGATATAACTCTTCAGGCCCCATGCCGGCTCCCCGTCTCTGAGCACACAGTCAGAGGAAAATGCACTTCAGGGCCCTTGCCGGCTCCCCGTCTCTGAGCAGACAATCAAAGGAAAACACACTCCAGGCCCTATGCCAACACCAAACCGTCGCCCGGGACGGACCGGATCTATCCCTACGTCCCGTAGCGGAAAGGACCACTAGGTAAGTACAAAACCAGTGAACATACATATATTGAAAATCAACTTCATAGTATAAAGTCATCCATCATCTATACTATAAAGAGGTGTTCTAAACATGTTCTAAATATCATATCGTCATCCATCAGATATTCTATAAGAACATGGGTTATAGGAAAAATAGTAATAATTCAAACTAGCCTCAGTAAGCATGTTATCTCGTAAAACGTTTCATAAAACATAATCATCAAATCATGCTTTTCATGTATGCATTTCTACTATCAAAACATGCATTTTTAGAAGGGGTCCACTCACAGTACTTCGCCGTCGAAAAGCCACGTCATCTAGCGAAGAAGGAAACGCCATTGATAATTGCCCCTAAGCACATAAATGGTACATTTAGTCAAACTCTACTCAAACGATTGAATTTGGCAAAACGGACATCGGGAACGGGTTCAGGACGTCGAAATTAGCCTAGGAGGGGTCCCGCGCGAAAACCGAAAAAGTCAATCCGGAGGTCAAAGTCAACGTTGACCGTTGACCGGTCAAAGTCAACGCTGACCGTTGACCGGGTCAACGGTCAACGGGTCAGGGTCTGGGTCAACGGGTTTGGGCTTTAGGGTTTTGGGTTTGGGTTTGGGTAAATGGGTTTAGGTAATTGGGTTAGGTTTTAGGTGGGTTGGGTTTGGGCTAGAAGGAAAATGGGTTTGGGTTGGAAACCTCACGGCCCAATGGCCCAATTAAAAAGGGTAATGGGTTTGGGCTTGGCAGGAAAGGCCCAAAGGCCTTGGGTTTGGAGTTCGCCGGATTTCCAAGGAGGGAGAAGGCCGGACTTCGGCCGGAGAATTCCCAAGCTCCGTTGGAGCTCAAAACTTAACCAAAACATGTCATTCAATATACCAAATTGAAGCCCCGAAGGTAAGGAATCGAAATATACCCTTGGTTCCCGTCATTGTGGCCGGAGTTGGCCGGAAAACAGCTTGGAAGCCACGGGTGTCCGCCGGAAACTGGGTAAGATTCAAATGAGCATAACTTCTTCAATACTCAATGAAATTAGGTGAAACAAAAAGGAAAGTTGTAGTACTCAGCGAGACGAAGAGATTGATACCTCGCACGCCGGCCAAATCGCCGTGGTTTGGCCGGAAATCGCCTCGAAAGGGACGGTGCTCGCCGGAAAATTGGGAAAGAGTCTCCGAGGTGGTTTCTTCATGGTTTGACGTCCAAAACACAACCACGGGGTTAGAAAAGAGTTATAGGTGCGGGCTTGGGTGTGTGTGTGTGTGTGTTCTTGTCGGACCGAGAGGGGGGATGGAGAAATCACAGAGGAAGAAAGAGAGAAGAGAGACTTTTCAGAAAATAAAAAGAAAAGGGAAAGGGACAGGGAACCGGGAACAAAACAGGGGGTGGGCCCCTTGGGCTCACCAATTAAGGCTCAAAAACAATTTTAAAATGGAAAGTATCCCCCAAACTTAGTGAAAATACAAAAATACTCATTTTATTCCGTAAATTCCAGGACGGGTTGTTACAGAGAAATTTTTTACTTTTGTTTTTTAAAATTAAAGGAGAGAGAAGGAGAGTAAGAGAGAACATGAGAGTGGGAGAAAGGGGGAAAGGTTAATTTTTAATTTTTTTTTTAAATTAGAAATGATCGAATCATAATCATTTGAAGGTGAGGTTTACACAAAATGCAAAATTTTGTTTTGTGAATTTACGTTACTGTCCTTAACTTTTTTGTTGTGAGACAAAAGTATCTTTTCACCATTTTTTTTGTTGATAAAGAAAGTTTCATTAATGTGTAATTTAGATTTAGATAATTTATATTAGGAGCATTTATCTCCTTATATTTAACTTTTTGTCTTAATTATTAATCAATAAATAAGACATTTATTAAAACCCTAATATTTATCTGTTGATCTTCTTGCACAGCACAAATTCCTCCTCCCCATTTTTCTTATTCCTTCATATTCTTCTCTTCATCTTAATTTTCTTGTTGATTCATACACTCATCTCCATTTTTCTTGTTCCTTCATATTTTTTTTCTCCTTCACTTGTTTTTTTTTCCAGATATGATATTGTTTTCTCTTCATCTCTTTTTTTTCTTAATTTTCTACCCTTCAATATTCCCTTTCATGAGTCCAAGATAGTGAAAGAGAGATTTAAAAAGGTTTGTAGTGGAGAAAAAAACTAAGTATATTTAGTTAGGTTTGTAGTGGAGAAAAAAATTAATTATATTTAGTTTGATTGAAATTTTTTTATTCTCCCAAACTACTTTTTGCAAGTGAATTTGACGGTGAGGTGTGAAAAAGTTGAAGTGAAATTCGTCAGGTGTATTCTTCAGTTTGTTTTGCAGGTTTTGTTTTCTCGATGTTTTGTGAAGGGTAGGTACATAATTTGATTGCTTTACGTAATTTGTTCATTTCTCTCGTGAGTTCTACGTAATTTGATTGTTTTGTTTCTTATTTTTCTAAAAATAATGTTACCCTAATTTGCTTTTTCCTTATGTGGTGTACCTACAAGATGGATCATGGAAGACACATGCTTTTAAATTCAATAATAGCCTTTGATTCTCCTTATAGATTAATCTAATGGCCCTTAACAGTGCAACTCATGATGAAGAGTTGTAACCAAATTAAGAGACATAAGTAGGCCACTTAGTACTACAGTCTAATGGTATTCTTCTTCATTTGTAAGTAAGAGGTCTTAGGTTCGATTCTCGCTTAAGGCAAATTTGAAACACATTATTGCTAGAGTACACAAGTGTTGGAAAGACAAAACAAGTAAACAAATTACTTGTGTTACACTTAAATATTACAACACAACAACTCTCAAAGACACTTTAGAAGCTATGACACTCAATCATTTTCTAGAAACAAACTCTAGACCGCTCACATTCTTCACAAGACTACTTAGTTACAAGGCTTCTCACTTTCTTACTTAGCTCTCTCTTGATTCACTCTCTCTCTCTCTCTCTTTCTTTCTTTGTTGATTACTTACTTAAACAACACACGTACATGAATATTTATAGTTGATATTTGCTGACTTACCAAGTCGGTTAACATGGGCTCAAATTCATCCTAGACACAAACTTTAGTTATTCTAGATTTTACTACACAAACCATCTTTCACATTGTACCCTACAACTTCTGAAACCAAAGTTCAAGCCTTCTCAGAACAGATCTAACAGAAAAGAGAGGGACAATTTTGTGGCACAAATCATAGATATAAATAGCATCAACAACATTAACAATATTATAGGATCCTCCGGTAAAATGAGGTTCACATGAAATATATCTGATCAGATAAATGTTGGGGAAATGTTCTATTTTGAAAAAAAAAAAACCTCATCTATGGATGAAGCTCTTCTATCAATATATTTAGCTTCTTCTGTGACGAGAATTGCAACATTAACTAGGAAAATCATACACTATAGAAGGAAAGAAATGATAAAATTGTAAGCTACAGTTATCAATCAGCAAACTGAAGAAACTATTCTGCATATATTACCATTTAAAGAATTTGCAGAAATATGATATGGCAATTGCAATAATTTTCCGTCCTCTGCATCATACTTCACCACAGCCACTAGAGCATACTCATCGCCAACATACCTGCAAGTTTTAATACAGCAAACAAGTTATGAACCGAGCTTCTCCAGCCAATCAGTGGCTGCCTGAAAATAGTTGTAACAATTTTTTTCGGAAAGTAGTGTACATTAAACTGGAGCCATGGATTACAGAAAAAGCAGTTATATTTGTTTCCCATTCTAGACAATAAACTAGGGACCTGCTCTTGAGATTCCAAACCTGCCAAAATTGAGAAGTAATTGATCACTTGTTTAAAATTTAAATAAACGATAGGTTCATGTTTAAGCACTTCATAGAATTTAAATTCTGGCACTGAATTATGAACAGAAATTTCCAAGTCAACAGTCTACTATTATCTGCTTCTATCCATCTGTATTCCCTCCTTATGATATTCACCCTTATTCAGGTGTTCATAGAGTGTATTTTTGTTATGATGGTTAAATTATTGAATCCAAAAGTGACCATTAATGCCAAATGCCGAATACTTAACATTATAAAGACATCAATGTTGATAATTGCCTAAATATAACCGAAAGAAGATGCATATGATGCAGAAGTTTAATTGAGTCATCATGTGTCACACGGATGGAGTTGAGTTGGACACATGCAAAGGAAATTGCAGACTTGATAAAGAGCCCATACCTGAATATCATTATCATTCAAGATGCTCACCAAATAACCCTGGTTTTGTAGAAACTGCCAAAATACAGTATGAAGAATTAGTTTGCTGACCCAATAACTAATAAGACAAGAGTATAATATTCAAGGATGTGTTTGTGATTAAGAAAAAAATTGTTTTACCATAAAAGTTATATATCATTCAAAAAAAATGTTTCACCCTAAACACTTTACTATTGATATTTTATCCTTGTAACTAAACAAGGGGAATGAATGGTGCACACAGATACCTCAATGTATTTGTAAGGCAGTTGCTTCGGGGATATAAAGAGTCCTTCAATACCATCACCACCGATTACTTTAATCCTCCCATCCCTACCAAACAAATAAGAATCAAAACAACAATGTGATTTGTGTGATGCAGGGATATCATATCTCAAAATAGATGTACGTAATCTCATGCCTTCATTGCAATATCTACAAGCATGCTTCACCAAATATACATGTGTATTTTGCCATTCAAACGTTTTGGTACCACAGAAACGAATAGCAATTCCGAGAAATGTGGAACAGCAATGCTTAGTAGCAAGATACCTCATTAACCACACGACAGTGCGCAATGCTAAGTAGATTGGTTTTCGATCAACTCACACACCGAAAACAGCATAAACAAAAAAGAAGAAAGAAGAAAGTAAGTGCATTTTAACTCACACTGTTCCAATGGCCAAAAGGCGCTGAATCGGGTCGAAAGCAAGAATGGAGGCCGTGGATGGGATGCCATAGTGAACTGCAACTCGCAGGTCCAAGTCTTCCGCCGTCAAACTCCCGCGTGGCAAATTATGCTGAAGCCAACAATTTCCAATACAAAATCCCAATTAAAAAAAATGGGCAAGTATCAGGCCAAATGTCGATACCAAGAGGCTCCAAATTTATATAATCCAAGTATTCGAGCATAAAACTACACAGAAATGAATAAAAAAAAAATCATAAAAAATAATCCATTGATGCAATATCCAATTTTCCAGGATACTAACAAGATAAAGCATCGGACTTTAATCCAACCCAACAAAAAAGAAATGGAATTTTAACCAAAAAACGCAAATTACGAAGCTAAACTGAAAAATTCAAAAAACAAAAAAAAAGAAAAAAGTGGCGGCGATCGATTGCTTGGGAATACGATTTTACCTGAGAGTTGTTTATCGCTTTCTGCAAAAGCCGCTTGGCGAACATTGCGAATTCGAATTTGCAGCTGAAATCTTTGGCTTTCTGCAAAAGCAGCTGGATTGGACTAGCGGAGGAGACTTTCTATGTTTGTTTCAGTGATCATACCGATGGCGTTCCTACTCTTAAGAGCTGTAAAAATTTTCGAATCAGTCAACGACAACAATTGAAATTAAATGAAAAAAATAAATAAAAAGGTGCTTAGCCGTTGTTTATGGGGGTTGTATCCTCTGCGGTCGCGATTATTTCATATTCGGTACGCAGTCGGCAATCCCTTCGTTGGAAGCGAAGGCAAAACGGAGTCGTTTTGGGCATGTTTGCTTGCATTTTGCATCATTTGGTTGACACGCATCCATTACAAATGGAGTAGACGAAAGTAGACATCACCGAAAGCGTCACTGAAAGCATTAGCAGTATCTTCTTTTTTTTCTTTTTATACAAGCAATTTTTTACGTTCAATTGTAATTTAATTTGATCTGCAAGAAAACACTCGATTGCATACAAAGAGCACATTTATTTTACTCAAAGTGGTTACACTTATGTCTACAAAACATAACTCGTCATGTATCAACAACTTATTCTCATTAGAGCAAATTTTATAAAGAAAACCGAACTGAACCAAATCGGCCACCTTGTTCGAATCACCAATTGATGGGTTATTATGCCCACTTCTAGAGCTTACTTTGAAGTAGGGGTGGTAGTGGGTTATGTCGAGGTACTAATCATTCGGGACATTATTGGACTCCTAAAAAATAAATCTCTCCTTATTCCTACAATTATATTTTTAACATACATACGTAAATAGCTTTTAATGAGAATAACTTTTAAAAATAAGATATTTATTATTGACACTCTAAAGATCTAATTATGCACTTTAAAAATTTTATTTAGAAAGATAAATACTCTTACAAAAGTGGAGAATTAAATTTTAAAGTGCCAATAATAGATCTCAAAAAGAAAATAAGAAGAAAAAGTTTGTAATGCACATTCAAAAAAGACTTTTTAGCTAAAATAGTCTTTGAAACTAGCATAACTTTTCATTTTGGTATTTGAGATTTAAAATCGATAAAAGCAGTCCCTGAGTTTGTCCACCATCAATCATTTTGGTCATTTTGTGAAAATGCTATTAAATAAGGACTAAAATGAAAAAAATACTCTCAAGTTAATAAACAATAGGCCAAAATGATTTGTCAAGAATTGACCGTATTTTTATCATGTTATCCTTATTTAATGGAGACTTTTCATGGAATGACCAAAATGATTGATGGTGGACAATCTCAAAAACCACTTGTATCGATTTCAAATCTCAGAAATCAAAGCGAAGAGGTGCGTCAATCTCAGAAACCATTTAGATATAATAATAATAATAATAATAATAATAATAACCTTATAAAATGATTAGCAATAATAGTACATGCACAATGGGTAAAAGGAATATACTCCAAGCCCAATAGACCTAATGGACCAAAAATAGGAAAAACTAAAATGGACCAACAGTACCCGTCAATCAACTGCTTATGCTATTTAAGCAACAATTCTATAACGACCAATTTCTCTAAAAAACAAATAAGGATAATATAAAAACAAAAAGTAGAAAATATAAGGTTAGTTCATTTGAAACGTATTTTAGAATAATTGAAAATATTTATGAAATTAATTTTTGTAAAAATACTAGTAAATTATGAAAAAAAAATACTTAAAGTGTTTCTTATAAGAAGGTATTATTAGTGTTTATTGCTTGATGTACTAAGTACTTTTAAAACTGATAAACATTTTATTTAAAAGACATTAAGTCATTTTAAAAAAACTTTCAATTCAAATGAGTAGTCTTTGCTTGGAGTTTTGCGTCTACACGTCTGTCTCATCTCATTAAGAGATTTTTTAGTATGTCCGAAATACAAGATAGTACATCACGTGTAATTATACAAATAACGGGACACTTGTGCTAAAATTAGTAGCTTAAAACAATAAAACTTCCATCCACTCATACAGTGACACGTGGTATAACTAATACGGGTGTAGAATAAAAAATAAGTAATGTTAAGAAGACTAAATTTTATAAATTAAATAACATAAAAGTTAATTATTGATAAATGTGCTTATTAGTGAGCTCATTCAATTTGCTAATTTAGTGTACATATTTTGTTCTCCATTTCATTGCTGATCTGCCACAACCATTACGTATTATCTTTCGAACTTCATCGCTATCCAAAATAATTCCCTCCTCCTTCTCCAAAGAACAGTTCGACCTCCGAGCTCCCAATTTTCCTCCTCACCACCATGACAGTTCCGCCGTATCAGGGTAAAATATTCAACTATTTGATTATTTTTTATTGGGTTTTAGTTCAATTTTTTTAGTTTTTATTTTATGAATTTTAACAATCAGAAATGATGGGTTGAACAATTCTATTTTTTCACAAATTACAGTCATATGGGATCTCTTAGAACTTGGAAAGATCACAACTTGATGGAAATTATACTGAAATTTCGATTTGCTATTTTGTGGGTTAATTCTTGAGTTAGCATTTGGAATTAAGCTCTTGGTTTGAACTTGAAGCCTCTGGTTGTTGATTTGGGTATTCTGCAATTGTTATAAGCTGAGTATGTGGCTCTGATTTCTAATTTTCGACTCGGTTTAACGATTGCTATTATTTTGCTGATGTCCTGCAGATGATGTTAAGAATAATGAGATGACGAATTACTTCAATTCCCCTGCATTGGATGTTTCAGTTGTTTTTCCGCAACCAACGCCGGCTTCTACTTTTCCTCCCTGCAGTAAGAACATTGACCATCATTATATAATAGATATCGTATAGATAAACTTGTTTGTGTGTCTATGGAGAAATTGTCTTTTGTAAAACAGTTCAGGATTTCTTGTTGTTATGTAACTTATGTGAATCCAGACTATTGATTCGAATTTTTCGGATTTGCGTTTCATCTTGTCTCACTTTTTGCATTCTGGTTTGTTTACTTTGTTTCCTTGTGAATATTTAGTACATTGCTCGTGCACCTCTTTAGTTGTTGTGATTTTGATTTGTAATTTGAAGAAATGGGCAACTTCAGTAATTAACTTCCATATTCTTATCTCTTGGCCTTAAAAATTTACAGCTTCGGATTACTACCAGATTGATGATCTATTGACACCTGAGGAGCAGGCTATTAGGTTGAGAGTAAGAGAGTGTATGGAGAAAGACGTGGCTCCAATTATGGCAGAGGTATCCTTTTTACTCTAACCATTTCTGCATTTCATATTAAGGCTAAAACAGTCAATATTTAATTATTTAATATACATTCGTAAACAATGAGATTGATCTGCGAACTTGTTTTTTCAGTATTGTGAGAAGGCAGAGTTTCCATTTCAAATTATTCAAAAGCTTGGTGCATTGCGCATTGCTGGTGGGACAATCAAGGTGCTTAATACATAACTTAATAAGTTATTTTTAAATCTTGGGTTCGATAATTTGTTGGATGGGTTGGTAATTTCGCTTGTGGCCTTCTTTCTATCAGGGTTATGGGTGTCCTGGTCTTTCTATTACGGCAAATGCTTTTGCTACAGCTGAAATTGCTAGAGTTGATGGAAGCTGTTCTACTTTCTTCTTGGTTCATTCCTCAGCAGCGATGCTTACTATTGGTTAGAATTTGGATAATTTTATTTTTGACTTTTTGTTTTATAAATAACCAAACCTTCACTGAAAAATGATGTTGTTCACAAGTCAAGGCTTATAACTAGTGTAACATTTCTGGACTGTGAAGAATAGCATTATGTGGGTCGGAGGTGAAGGGAAAATATGAGATTTATGTGGGATTTCTATTGACTAGCATGCATATACAATTCAAAATTTATATACGAAAACAACGGAAGCATGTCATCAATTAATATCAAAGCTCTAGTCATGAAAATCCCCTTCAAGATTCATAGGTTTATTTATGATGCATCAAAATAATTTATTGAAGAACAAAGTTTAGGAGTAGTTTTATACCTCTTGATCTAGATCTTAGACCAAGGATTGACCACCTCCAAGCTCTTTGCTCCTTGAACTCCTTGAGCCTAGCCTCCCTCCTTGCCTCCTCCACTTTGTTGAGAATGAGTGCTCCTAGGTCCTCTTCAAGTTTCCAAAATTGAAAACCTCTAAAGATCCTCACCCACTTGTGTAGTGAGAAGGATGAAGGAATAACCAAAGGGGTGATAAAATGATTAGCTTAAATCCCCTTATGGTGCCCGGCCCTTTGTTGTTAGAGAGAGTTATATTTTCTTTTCTCTTTTGTGTTTTGAACACTAAGAAAAACCTCCTTTCTTCTTTCATTATAATGTTCCTTTTATTACATAAAGAAACAAGTCAACAATTGACCTTTTCTCTCCCTTTCTTTGGCCGGCCTTATGTGTTTGGTTTGGGCTTTGGGCTTTTAATTATTTCAAGTCATCCAATGCTTGAATAAAAGCCCAATGGGTTTTGGCCCAATGGGCCTAATTAAACCCGAACGTTTCTTTAAGCCCAAAACGATCTTTTATCGCTTTTATGATTTCTTTAGACTTTCTAAATTAATCACAACACTTAATTAACCCAATTAATTATTTCCATCATCCATTAGTTACTCACTACAAGAGTGTATTGGTGAACAATCTTTTAGGTTCTAATTAGCAAGGCAGTGAGGTGATTGGCATCAATCCAATTGATTATATTTAATCCATCCACTTAGTGAATTAAAACTTACTTTTAATTCTCCTTCTTCTTTGATGACTACATTTAATCATCTTAGAAGAACTCACGAGCCATGAGTGACATCTAAACATATATCATGGCTACCCAAGCTAATGTAGAAGTTTATTCGGAGAACCTATTCAGTTGGAATTACAATGTAATTCGATCGTTCTCTAAAACAATACTCTCAATCACATCACTAGGGCATAGATATAGTATGTCAAACCCCTAATGTGATTATGCTTTCTTATATGATTCAATTGAGTCGCATAGGAACGTTTTCCTTTATTACGCTCGAGACTTCGGCCGAAGATTCCCGAATCATATCTCAGAGTATTCTTCCTCTCATAACGAGGATTAGAGATTCCTTATTGATCATTCACATGCCTACATGTTTAGATACCTTAACCCCAACAATGCCGTGGACACTCCAATGGAATGTCGTTTGACATTATCAAAGATCAAGGACCTAAGCATTAGACATCTATGATGTCTTAGGTCAAAGGATTACTTACATTATTCCAACCTTCAGAGTTACTTGCTTGACATGTGAGTAGACCTCCATGCAAGTACTCTCGTTCGATTGTGTTCAGTGAACTCATTCCCTTAATGAGCACCTACATACTTGTCTTAGTGTCACTACACGAATGG